TCCTTCAAAACATTAACTTACCTTAACAACATTTGGATAGTTTATATTCATAATTTAGACTTATAAAGATTCCACATATAATTCAGTCAAGGGATACTGATATAGAACAGCAATGCAGAACTATCCAGGCTACAGATAAAGTGATTTGGTACATGCTTATAACAGAGTGTAGCACTCTGGAACGTGCCAGAACAATATGGGAAAGGATATGGATTATTGGATTCTGTGTCCAGTCCAATAAACTGCACAACACAGTTTCACTGCATTTTCCTGAATTTTCAGTTCTGAAAATAGTTATCATGGAGCCAATTGCTCTGCTGGTACAGACATGAACTAAATTATAACAAATCAAATGGCAGATTAACTCCTTTTTTTTTTTTTTTTTTTTAAGATAATTTACAGGGAGACTGCACTTCTTAAAAAAGCTAATCATCATAAAACATATGGTCAGATTCTATTATAAAGGTCCAGAGTCCAATAATATTATGCTAACTATGTTTCACTATTCTAAGCATCTGATTGATTTCAGAAGAAACAAAGGGATATAAATGTTACATATTTTTTCAAAAGTTTAAAGATGGTACCAATCAATAATCACTCTCATGCATTTTTAAGGCACCAGGTATATTTTTAAACACCAGATGCTTAGTTGTACCATAGTTATTTCTAACATGAATGACAACTACAGCCAGTAAGAGAAATGCCATCAGAGACAAGCTTCAACTTTAACCTTCAAAATTTTCATGATTAACCAAATTCTCCCTCTTGACAGTAAAGTTGAAGTAGACTGGCAATTATTTTAAATGGTAATAAAGTAAATCTTGCTGTCAGGTCATTTGTTTTCCTTTTTATCACCTGCAGATAGCGTGAAGTTTATAAAGTAATGTGGTTTTGGTCAAATCTGTAAGTACAGATTAATTTCTGCCTAGACTGTTTTTAGCTTATGTCACTTACTCAAGAAGTTTTTTCAGTTCATACAACTTAGCTGAATTTACAGGAAAAACTATTATGCTAAATGTATTTTGCTCCTATCATATATAATTTCACAGAAGACATTGAAGTACAGAATTGGTAATAACGAGAGAAAGTATTTTTGATGCAAGTGCTGGTAAAGTCAGTGACAAACAAAATAATAATTTTCCCTTTTTCTCCCAATACAGTATTTAAATAAGCACATTTTATTTTGGACCTGAGAGAATCAGAGAATAACAGCTTAATGTCAAAGGCTAGAAATGCTTGAGAAAGAATACTGAGATAGAAAGGCAACAGATGGATACCATCAAAAACATTTCATACTGCAAAATCTGTAACTCAGAGATTTTTTTTATTCAAATAATCAACAAAAATAGCTTAATTGCTAACTAGTTAAAAAACCATGACAATTTTGGAGGATTGTTATAAATTTCTATGCCTTACCTCCCCATCTAAGATTAAGAAATTAGGAGTTACTTAAAAGTCTGATAAAAAAGGAAACTTATGAAGTAGTATTAGACTTTTCAATGAAATAGTGATGGAAAGGAGCTACTGGAAATAATTTCAAAAACTTTTAGTTAACTTTATCTAAATTTAGTTCTCTTAGATTTTGAAAGTGAATTTAGGGAACCAACCACCATTATTTGTCTTATAAAGTTTCTCTTAAGGAGGATAACACAGTGAGGTTTTTTTGTGATTTCATATAAGTGGTTTATATGTGAGCTTAGTGATCAGTGCCCTTTAATGTCCAGATTATGGACCAGATGGTTTATCCTCAGTGGAAACTTAGACATTCTTTAAGATGGAGATGGGAGAAGGCTGAGACATTCCCTGAACCTCTGAACTCAGAAACACCCCTTGGTCTCTCACGGACAAGGAATTCACATTAGTATTTAACACATGGCATCAATCACTTCTTGTTTTCAGACACAAAGTCTATACTTTCTGGAGTATATTTAAGGAAGGTACAACATAACAGCAGAACAGTGATTTGTTGAGTTTTTAGTTTGATTTCATTTTAGGTTGTTATTCAAGCTGCTCTGAGTAAAGTCTAATCCTCCACAGTGAGGAAATCATAGATTTATAAGGAGCTTTCAGATACCTAAAGCAGCAGAGCACAAATTTCACAGGAATGACGCATTGCACATTGGAGAAAATTATTAATCCCAAATCACTTTAGAATTTGTCTTAGCTAAATTTCTTCTCCAGGCTACTATATCTCATTTTTGTAGGCAGAAGGCTAACACTGAGAAACAAAAAGAAATCAATTACAAAAAAATATTCATAAAGTAATATTCCTTAAGGTCTCATAGCAGAAACTCTTTTAACAACACAGATTTGGCCTTGTGTCTTGAATGTAATTCTCAATATTCCATCCGTGTTTTTTCCCATTACAAATCTTTTCTACTAGTAAACAATTCCTGTTAAGAAGTGACACCTTAGCTACAATAAGCAGCTTCCTCTTTCTCAAGATGGCCTTATTTTCCTATATCAAGACCTTCAGAAAATTGAGGGGGATTTTCTGACAACGTACACCCAGTAAAAGGAATAATCAGCTTTGGCGATTTTTGTGGGAGCTGGGGGATCCGAGATGTATTGACTGGAAGATAAAAGAGTGGTATAATATGCTGTAAAACGCTTCCAATGTTATGGCTTGGTTTGCCATATTCTATTTAGAATACTGAATTTTTTTAAGATCCACTCTTTCTGAAAAGTATATTAAAGAAAAAACACAACTTCAACAAGAAAAAATTGATGAAGTTTGTACAATGTTACTAATCTTATCATTTTTGATAGTAACATAAAATTTTAAAGAAATGGTTATTATTCAAAATACTTCTATGTGATTGCAAGATGAAAACCCCATTTATAAATGGATTCAAAAATAGAAAGTATGGTCAATAGATGAATCTCCTCGAGGTGACATTTTTACAGTTAAACTTGATAATGTCCCATGATAATTGTAAGTAACTTCAGCTGCTTTGATATGAGAGATGAATTATCCAGATACATCACTAACACTACTGGGTATCTGCACAAATTACAGACAAGCAGATGTCATAATTTGTGTTCTAGGTTATCCTATGGTAACTAATTGAATCAATTTGACTGTTGAATTCATTTCGGTCTCATAAACAAGGCAGAAAAAAACACTTAAATGCTTTAAAGCAAACAAAGAAACAAACACCAGGCTTGATGACTGAGGACTGAATGGGATGAAACCCATTGCTTAACATCCCTAGCGAGTGTTACACGAATTCATTTTCTGGTAGGCAATTTTCAGATCAAAGTTGTTTAGATTTTGTTGTTATTTTAGTTTTGGTTTAGGTTGTTTTGGTTTCTTTTTCTATTTGCGCACACATAAACACCTCCAGTGTCAGTTTTTTAGTTAGCCACTTGTCAAAACTAGTCTAAGACATACTAAGAGAGCATGAGGTAGGTATGAAAGTATGCTTAACTGAAATATGACATGATCTATAATTTGCTGAATATCTTCCTCAGGTTTATTGTGATATAAAAACAGTGTCACTAGTTGGTCTACATATTTAAAATGCAATCAAGAAATGCACTTCTATGCCACTAACATATGTTCAGAGTTATCTTCCACTCACTTTTTGTTTTTCCTTTTTAATATCAGGAAAATACCTCCCCAACATGATAAGCACAAAATCAACTTGTATTGTTATCTCATTGTGTCAAATCATTCTAATACAGACACAGTGTTTTTTTTCCCCCATATTCTTTGTTTCATGGTATTTACCAGCAATTTTTAAATGACTATTCAAACCAACCAAACAAACCATAAATTAAGAACGTTCCCCAGCTGGCAATAATATACACTAATATCACTATTGAACACACTAAACTTGCATCCAATTTCTGTAGTCCAGAATAGAATCATGAAGAATCTTCCACTGAAAGCTTCCTTAGATGTGCATTTTTCTTTTCCTTGAAAGTCTTGCTCCACAAAACTGACTACAGTTCTTAATTCAATTTGTGAATGTCTGAGCTCTTCAATGCTTGGTTGAAGCCCGTGATAGTTAGGCATACTGTAGTTTCAATAATTTTGTTTCTTTTTCATGATTTTTTATACCACCTCTGATTCCACAGATTTCAAACTGTTAGCTGATTGAATGTGTTATATTTGGTGGTTGATTTTTTCTTCCTGAGTTATTTGAAAGATGCCGGTCGTCCCACAATCACCATGTTGATTGAGTAAATTGGAAATAAAGAATCAAGTAACAAATTATATTTCAGAATGGAAAAAATTTATTCAGATTTTAATATTTATGTCAGTAGATGGATGTCTTGACTCTAAAATCAAGTCATATATCACAGAGAAATAAAAGAATCAATTGTTGCTGGTTCTCCTAAAGATACAATGTTACAAAGAAGAAATATTCCCAACTGCGTGAATTAATATTTCACTAGTCTTTTCACTGTTTCATTTTAAAATCTCACTAATTCAAAAGGTAGGGAGACCTTAATGTAGCCTTTCAGTACTTAAGTATTGAAATACTTTTCAGTACAGTCTGTTACAATAGGAACGGGGCAATGGTTTTAAACCAAAAAAAGGTAGGTTTAGACTGGACATAAGGAAGATATTTTTTACTATGAGAATGGTGACACATAGGAACCGGTTGCCAAGAGAGATTGTGGATGCTTCATCTTTGAAAGTGTTCAAGGCCAGCTTGGGTGGGTCTTCAAGTAATCTGATCTAGTGAAGGATGTCTCTGCCCATGACAGGGGGTTTACACTAAATGATCTTTAGATTCCTCTCCAACCCAAACCATTCTATGATTATATGACAACTAGACTCAGTTTTGTGTGAAGCACTAATTCTGCTGAACTCACCTCCTTTTTGGTCTTCCATAGAAACAATTCCATAAGACGAGGAGCGAGTGTTGCATATGAAGACATTTCCTTTCATAGCTTTTTCTAGCATGTTTTACCTGTTACATTTTCTTCTCTTCAGCTAACTGAAAAATGGTGGGGAGGTTCAGTTTCACATCTTTCAAGCAGGGCTTTCTCAGACTTATTGCTTGCTTACAATCTGTCAACTGGGTGGACTTGGCAATTCAGGCTCAGTCGTGAGAGCTGCTTCTTGTGACAAGGTGACTGTACTGTTGCACAGCACCACTCTGCAGAGGAGAGTAGCTTCCAGCAGAAAGGAAGGCACTAGAAAGGAGGCTGTGTTCTCAGGTTTCATTTTGGCATGTGTTGGAAGCCATGCCCAGAGCACATAATCCAATCTAGGAGGTGAAAATTCCTTCTGATCCTTCAGTGAACCTGTAGTCATGCCAAATCACTTGTCAATTTGTCAAATTTTGTGTGTTTTAGAGAAAAGTGAACACATCTGATGGGAAAGCTTTCTTTTTTTGTTTTATCCAGAACAGAAAAAAAAAAGTTGAAAAATAACTGTAAGGATACTCCATGTTCAGTGAGGGAAAAATTACTTCGGAATTAACTTTAGGATGGATTCTAAAGTTAGGAAGTGGATCCCAAAGGGAAATAAGGAAGAGAAAGAAGCAACAGAGAAAAACGCAATTTTCATTGGAGTAATTTCCTGCAGAGTAGTGAAGCAGCTCAAAACAAACTCTTGTCTCTCTACCAAACTATTATTGGCCTGTGGGAGGTAGGAAGCTGTTATCTTTCTTGGCAAGTTCTCCCTTATCTCATGTGACTTCCTTGCTGTTCACACTAAGACAAGCAACAGTGAAAGCCTCCTATCATCACGTACCTAGTGAAGAAAGACTGGAATTTTGGCCGCCTCCACTTCAAATGTTGTGCATTGTTGGTATTGCTTTCTGACTTTTCCTTGACGTTTGTAAATGTGAAGCTGCAGACTTTATGGAACTGCTAAATATGGTGCAGCACTGTCACCTGGACAGCAGTGAGGGATCTCAAGCCAAGAGCCCATTGCTATTCTCTAGAAAGGACAACATGAAGATAAAATGTGATATTTCTGTATCCACATGGGAGACCAGCAAAGATATTCACATTCCCACAAGATATATTTTGTTTCTATGGTTTAACAAATTAAAAATACATAATATTAAAAACATGTATACAAATGTCTATATAAACAAAACATGTACTATTTTTCTGTAATTTGCTTGAGGATTCAGCCCATATACAGAAGGAAAATGGACCATGATCATCTAGCGTGAACATCTGCATCTTATTGCTGCCAACAGTAAAGGGCTGCCAGTCCAAATAGGTATAATAACCAACTCCAGAACACAAAAATGCCTCTTGCCTTCTAACCTCTGGGCTTCTTCACTACCAAACAGTAGGAAGCCAACTTGAACAAGTGATGCCCTGCTGCTGCCCCAGATATCCCCATCTCCTGTGCCCTGAAATTGCTCCAACTTGGCAAAATAGTGAAGCTACACTTACTCTCTTCCGTCTGTCCCCCTAGAAAATAGGCCATTTCTCTGTTCTCTTACTGTTGGTGATCTGTAAAATTACTGGTCATCCCAATAGCATTCTTCAAGTAGAGGAGTAAAACTTGAAGACTGACCATTTACAGAGTACCGGAATTATGACCTAAATTTTCAATGGAAAAAACCCCTTTTTCAAAGGTAAAAAGAGCAAAAAATCATACTTTGTGTGGAAAAAAAAATATTCATACATGTAATAGATTGTTACAGGCTGTATCTGGAAGCAACACAAATATAGGTACATAAGTAACTATTTATGGAAGTATATATATAAATATGTATGGCTACATATATCTGTATTTCAAGCTAATTTATCTATTTTGCTGTAATAATGCCTTTTGTTTTTCCATATTTATCCATGTTTAAATATTTTCATATTTATCCATGTTTATCCATATTCTAAACACTGTTTACAGTCTGCTCTATCTGCATGGGAAAACAAATTCTGATGCTGTCTTAGACTTTTTCTTCTCTTTTTCTACTTTCTGTTGAATTCATCCTTTCAGAAGATAGAGTATTCTCACAGAAAACAGTCAAGATAAGTAGCAAGCTAATATTTTCAAAAGTTTAAAATATTCCTAAAATAAATTACACACATGGCACATTGACACCAAAGAAGAAACTCGTAAGAAGAATTCACTGCAGGCAAAACTGAATAGACAAGTAACACACTAAAAAACTACAGAAAATGAAAATAATGCACACATTGAAATGAAAGCCCTACCTATGCCATAGCATGAAAACTTAAAAAAATAAAATGAAAGTAATAGGAAAGGGAATGCCATTTGGAAACAGAAACATTTAAATAAATATCACTGGGATGGTCCTAAATTGTCAACTGCCTAACATCAATGACCTTGATAAATAATACACAAGTCCAATTTTTTCCACATTTCCAGAATGAGACAAATCTATAGAATACATGTATAAACACAAAAAGTTTTCAAGGGCAAAACCACAGTAAATGAAGAAAGTGTGCTCTTAGTCACCTGCACTCCTTCCACTGTAGGTCTCGCCCTAAGAAGTTTCTGATGGGCTTGCTTTTTTATATCTAAATTAAAAATGTTTTCAAGAGCCCAACTCTTCATGAAAAGCAAGATTTGGACATATTGACATGTTAAATAAATATGATAACAAATTTTGCTACCAGTTCTTGCTCCTGCAAACAACAGTGAATTCCAAAAAGCATTCAGATTTTTACTGATTGTTTTTCATAGATGTTTTTTACCCTCAGATTGGTCTCTGTCCCTTTCATATTTCATGGTTCCCAACAGAAACATTTCAGTCTCCCTTGTCCTTTTTCTCTCACAGCTCATTAATGCATTTTACATCTGCCTACCATTACAAAAAGTTTAGTGCATATGGAAGAGCTGAAAAATAAAAGACAAATCACTAGGGAAAAGAAAAATTTTTAATGGCTACATTGCATGTGTGTGGCTCTTTTAGTTACCTAGGAAATGGTTGCAAAGCATAATATGATTGTCAGATTAATTCCCAGGACAACAGGTACAACTGAGTGTAACTGATGTAGATATATAATACTCTAAAAATAAATTATTATCAGCTTTTCATTTTTAAATGGAAAGAAAACCAGTAAAATTAACTGTTAAGATGCATTTTTCAAAGGTTTGCCGTGAAATAAATTCTTGATTATCAGACTTACTTTGCTAGAATGACAAAAATCAATTCAGTTGCTGTAAAGGCAAATTTATGAAGTGGCTCAGATGGTAATCTGCAAAGTGTGGAAAATCACAGCATAAAAATATCATGATAAACAGGAAAAGAGTTGAAAGGATTTGCTAAGTCATCAGCTCCAAACTCTTGCTATAAAAGGAATTTTTCATATGATCCTTCCCATAAATGCATCAGGCTTCAGTTTTAAAACAGGTTGTATTTTTGTCTTCACTGCTTCTTTTAGAAAACTGTTCCAGAAGCTTACTCTTCTCTAGGATAGGTATCATAGAATCAAAGTATGGCTTGGGTTGGACAGGACCTTAAAGATCACCTAGTTCAAATCTCCCTGCCATGAGAAGGGACATCTTTCAGTAGATCAGGTTGGTTAGAGCTCCATCCAGCCTGGCCTTCAACATGTTCTCTGCTGATTTACTATCTGCTCAGCTTACACTCATCAGTTCTTGTGCCACCATTACCTTTTTCTCTTAAATATTGATTCTCCAGCATTTACTCCATATAATACTCACAGGTAAAAGTTTTATTTCTTCCAAGGTTTGCTTTTCCAAAATCTTTCAGTTTTCTTTTGCCAAGTAGGTTATCTATTGTACTCATCATCTAGTAGGCCAACTTTTCACCTGTTTGCATTTGAACTGCATGCCCTATGATATTAAGAAAAAAATGCGCTGATTTAAAAACTGAGAAAAAAGATAGTAAGAAATAGAAGATGCATTTTCTGGTTGTTGTTGCCTTTCCTATCATATTGTAGACTTCCACATGTCATAAAACTGAACAATTGATAAGCTCTGGCCACAGCTGCTTATAAGTAGACTTCAGTTCTGAATGCATCTATTCATATAGGCATACATTTTGCTTATAGACACACATTTTCCAGATAATTAAATTCGTTTTATAATAGACCAGATGGCAGAGCTTCTAAAAATCTATTGGCTTTTTCTCCACTGCCTTGTTTTATAACTTATTTCTGTTATAAATTGCAAGAAAACAATTATCTTGATTTATATGTGACTGTATATACTCATGTGACTATTGAGGGAAAGTAACCACAGTTAGAAAATTGCATACAATCACTGTTATTAAAAACTGTTTTGTTCCAGAGAAATCTTAGGAAGTACATTGTATACATGGTATTTGTGAAGGAAATAAATTATAAATATGTTGTTGGGTGACTGCACTTAAATGCTTCGTAAATGCAAAGTTATAACCTAGAGGAGGGGTCCTCTGAGGTCAATAATTCACATATAGTGAAAAAAACCCAAACGCAATAACAGAAGCTCTTGGCATATATACTCAATTCTCCCTTTTTGTGTCTGTTTTTATAGGCATTTTTTCAAGCACAGAATGCAGATGACATTTAAACACAGCAAACTGCAATTGTAAACGATGCATGTTGAAAAGCTATTGATGGCTAATGTACACCAAGCAACAAGCTTTTGGACTGTTCTCCCTTGAAACAACAGAGAGACAACCACTGCTCTGAGTTGAGTTCTGAAGAGGAACAAAATGCCATTACTAGGGCATCACAGGTGTTATATTTTATGCTCATCCATTATGGAAGGAAGACGTGTTAAACCAGTGCAGCCTGGAGGTAGAGATTATATGACTTAATAAACACCCCCATATTAAGCTGAGTCAAGCTAATTATTTTACTTATTTCCTTATCCTCAAGAATACCATCAGTCCATGTTTCAGGTAAAAAAACTCCCCTACTTATATGTATATTTTGTTTCAGGAAAAGCTATATAAATTCATTCTGTCACTTTGTATCTCCAGGTGATATTTTAATGCTCAGTGAATATGTAAAGTTCAGTGAAAATGAGAAAGAGAGACAAACAAACCTACAGCAAAAAGCTGTTCTAGCTTATAGGTCAGTTCAATAGTTAAAAAAAAAAAAAAAAAAAAAGGTGGAAAGATCAGTAAACCTGAAATAGTCAGTGACAGTCAGTTCAACCGACTGTTCAAATTCCTGACCCTAAGTGCAAGCGCCTGAAATTACCTGGAGCTCTGAGCTCTCGTACATGGACAAGGACTAATCAGAGAAACATTTAAATAGGGTTTTTTTCTGCTAATCTCTGTTGTGGAAACCCAAGTTCGCCCCATGTCAAATGGAGAGAACTTGATGTACAGGGTACAGTGGCTGCAGATTTACACCTTTATGTCCTTAAATAAAGGGTAAAAATGTGCTGGTGGGGAAAAAAAACCCTAAGCAACAAGTGGGAAACAACCTCCAAATCTCAAAACTAGTGACCCATGATGTCTGATGGAGAAAATGTCCACTCAACAGCTGTGAAAAGGTAATGTACTTAAGGTTACTTTGTGGATTGGAAATCTTTCCTGCATTTCAGGTGATTTGAGCTTAATTCACTTTTGACCCTTGAAATGTCAAACTTAACTGAATGTAAAACTTGTTTCAGTTTGAATCCTTATCACCAAAGGCTTGTCCTTTTTTATTTAATGAACTAAGAAAAAACACCGATATTGCAATTCCTCTGAGACAGAAATTCTTAAATAAAAAAGATTTCCATGCCAAAATTTGTCTTCATAAAGAAATGGATGCTCTAAGAGCCAAAAGTTTACCAAAAATAAGTTTTTGGTTGTATTGTCACACTTTTTTCATAGTTAAATTTGACAATATTGCTCTTCAGTTTTGTTCTGAGTAGCATTTAAACTACTAGGTTACTTTACTTCAGTGCTGTCATTTATTTGTCAAGTGGGCCGGGAGTAAATAAGTATATGACGCACCAAAAGATGAAGACTCAAGATGCTTTTTTTTTAAAGTTATTGTCAAAGCAGACTAGTAATATTCGTCTTTTGTCTAAACTGTATGTCACTTTTTTTTGTTCTTTATTTTTAAGTGAAGAAAAAATGTTGGTGTCTATTATCAAACTAATTTCACTTTAATTTCCTGTCATCAAGTTATTTGTTATTTTACTACACAAAAAAAGTGGCAATCTGATGGATAGATCTCCATGTAACTCTGAATAAATCAGCATATAAATATCTATTTTTGTCAAATGTGGCTTCTGTGAGCTCTTACATATTCAAATGTTTTGAGCTAGTATTAATTATTTTAGCCTACCCATTTTTCCTTCCTCTTTTGTTCTTTGGAAAAATAGCGAAGTGCTTTCCTCAACTCTATAAAGGATAAGACAAAGCTTAACATTAAAAAAGAAAACTATGGTAATAGGACAAGTTCTTTGTCTTGAAGGCATAATGGTTTGTAGCATGCAGAGCCTTTCTGGTAAGAAAGAAATAACAATAAAAAAAAGAGCTTTCAGATGCTAAATTATCTGCTCAAGAGAGCTCATGTTGTTTCAGTATAAAACAGAAATGCACAGAATTTTGGCAATCTTCAACAGATTGGTTATTGCAACATTGCAAAGCTGTTCTTTGAGACAAACAAAAATGGTAGGCAACTTGAGAAAATGGCTTATATCACCAGCAGCTGGGAATTAGGGTCCTAACAAGATGATGGGAAACTTTATCTAAAGGATCTATTGGCAAAAAATAAAGATGAGACTTTATTTTCTTTTAATGCCAGGACTTGGCTAGGCAGCCTGACACATCCTGCCTCATACCATTCCAGTTAGTTACATGGCTAGAGTACAAATTTGGATTAGGTAAATCAGAATTGATCCAGCTTTCCTTATAGATGAGGAAAAGTACAATTTGCTCTTCTACAAGGACTCACCCTGCCCTTGTGATCATTTGCAGGGACTAAACTTGTGGGTTCTGTGCTGGTTTTGGTTGGGGTAGAGTTAATTTTCTTCACAGTGGCTAGTACGAGACTACATTTTGGGTTTGTGCTGAACACAGTGATGGTATCATAGAGGTGTTTTTGTTATTGCTGAGCAGTGCTCACGCAGAGCCAAGGGCATTTCTCCTTTTCATACTCCCACACTGGCAAGGAAGCTGGGGGTGCATGGGAAGTTGGAAAGAGACACAGCCAGGACAGGTGACCCAAACTGACCAAAGGGATATTCTATATCATATGACATCATGCTCAGTATATAAAGTGGGAGGAAGAAGGAAGAAGGGCGGGACGTTTGGCGTGATGGTGTTTGCTTTCCCAAGTGACCTTTATGTTGTGTGGAGGTGGCTGAACTACCTGTCCATGGGAAGCAGTGAATTAATTCCTTGTTTGGCTTTGCTTGTGTGCAAGGCTTTTGCTTTCCCTATTAAACTGTCTTTATCTCAACCTATGAATTTTCTAGCTTTTGCTCTTCTGATTCTCTCCCAATCCTACAGGCAGAGGAGTGAGTGAGTGGCTGTATGGTACCTAGTCGCTGACTGGAGTTAAACCACAACAGGTTCCTACATCAGACCCCAGCTTCCAGTTACACACATCCATCAGAACCAGGATGGAATAGATCAGCATAACACCCCAGAATTTTTCAAGTGACTTTCCTTAGTTTGTATGGACACAATTCAGAATCACTCCCATTTGCTCCACATCTGTCATGAGACCAGGAATTTCTCAGTGGTTACTAACATTTTAAAATAGTTTCAAAGCACTTAAGAGAAAATAGGTGTTACTAAAAACACTCACAGTCGAGAGAGCTGCAGAAATTTATAACAACTAAATACTTGGGATTTTATTCAAATGAAAATGAAGGCATTGTCTGTTACTTATGATACTAGAAGAGGAGCGAAACAAAAAGTAGAATACTCTATTTTTCTCTGTAGGGTAAGATGTCAGATTCTTTTGGTCTATCTTGTCTTATTTAAGTTTGCTCTACTGTTGGTGAAGAAGCTGTGCTTGTCCTATACTGTTCTACATTTCATAGTAATGCAGATTAAGGCAGAATCTAAAACAAGTCAGCTACACTTCTGTAACTTCAGGTGAGGCTTCAAAAGAGTTACCTGCTCAGGAAAAGGAAAAGAAATAGAAATAATTCTTCATATTTGAATTGCATTTTGCTTCTTAGTGAATCTGAAAGAATGGTAAAAAAGGTAAATACCTTATCAAGCAATCGGGGGTGAAGCAATTTTTTTTTTTTCCTATTGAGAGAACTCAAGAGAATATAATTTTCTTAGGCTAAAAAATTATGTTTATAGGTTTGGTGAAGACAAAAAATGTGATTTAAAATTTGCAAGAGAAAAAGAGAACACATTTTAGAAAGGCTAAAGCAACAAGACACAGGTGGTAGCCAGTCCCAAGCGAGTTCTGATTATCCCTGTTGTGCAATGGTATTGCAAGTAAAAATAGACACAAAGAGGAGGCTTGGAAACAAAAAATATGGAATTTTTTATCGAAAAAACCTGTTTTACTGTGGATCTCTCCCTACACTCACTATTCATTAAAAATAAAAAGAACCTCCCTTTCCACGCACTATACTTTTCCCATCCCATATTCCACATTGTTATACATTCTTTCATTGTATTTTACTGACAAATAATAATATTCTTTTGTTATGTTCAAAAATATTAGCTAAGTTTAGACCTATTAAACACAATTGTTCTCCTTTTTGGAGCATAAACCATTTTATCTTTATGACATTTCTTTAGAAAAAGTATTTTAAATTATAC